AAAAAAAAAAAAAAAAAAAACTGAGGAGGTTTATCTTTATATCATAAATGCTTTGTTTATAAATGTTTTACTCATACCTAAGTCACTATATACACTTAGGGTATTTAATTTTTAACAGTAGTGGATAAAAGCCTGTATATAGTAATCTTGATAATTAAACATTTTTTTTCCCTGCTGACTTCTCAGATATATATACTTAGATTATTTTTAACCTTTTGGCTGCTGAGGAGCTCTTTATGAACAGAAGTGTCATTTTTGACATTTTCATGGTGTTTATTTGCACTTGTATTACTAGAAGAGTTATATTTTTAAAATACCTTTCCATTTTGTGAAGATAAGTTTAAATAAATTTAATGCTACCTGTATTCAAGTAGCTGTATATCTCACCGGCACACTGTCATTTCAAACCTATAGTTGCTTTAGTGGAAAAAAATGCTATTTATAGGAGTTTACTCAGCTGTTAAAAGAAGGTTTATTTTCCCTTTCAGGTGCACGAGAAACAGACTACCCTGCAGGAGAAGATCTTTTAGAATCTGGTCAGGTAGACAAAGCGTCTTTATGTGGAAGCGTGACAAGCAACAGCTCGGCAGAGACAGACAGCCTTTTGGGAGGCATCACAGTGGTTGGTTGTTCCGCAGAGGGTGTGACAGGAGCTGCCACTTCCCCTAGTACCAACGGTGCTTCCCCGGTGATAGAAAAACCACCAGGTAAATCTGTGCCCCTTACATGCCATCTGTATAGAGACTAAGGCTACCCCAGATGCCTCATTGTGGGCTGAATTTAGATCTTAAAGTAACAAGATGAAAGAGCTTGAAAGAAGTTGTAATGACCTCTAAATGACATCAGGAATTCTCAATTTCATGATACAGCATGGAGGAGTGGGTGGGCGGAGTGGGATTCTGTAGCAGAGGTCTGTGTGCAGAAATTATTGGAGGAGAAAAGCTCAAACTAGGAACAGTTAAGAGTGTTTTATTTACTTTGTAGAAATGGAACCAGAAAATAGTGAGGTTGATGAAAATGTTCCAACAGCAGAAGAAGCAACTGAAGCCACAGAAGGCAATGCAGGGTCAGCTGAAGACACTGTGGATGTTTCCCAAACTGGCGTGTACACAGAGCATGTCTTTACAGATCCTTTGGGAGTTCAAATCCCAGAAGACCTCTCCCCAGTGTACCAGTCAAGGTATGATAATGGGTCAACAACTTAGGAAACTGGATAAAGTGCACAAATAAAAGAAACCAAAATAATCTCAAACAGCTAAAATATTCCCACTAATTTGCATTATTGTGGTGGACTGAAAAGGGTTATTTCCTATTCCTGCTTTTTCTTCATTTATTCACTTCCCTTCATTCTCACTGGATATTTTCCCCCATTTCTTCTCTATTCCTTCCAACTTTAAAAAAAAAAATCTTGTGTATAAAAGTACAGTCATGTGTTGCTTTATGATGGGGATACGTTCTGAGAAAGGCACCATTAGGTGATTTCATGGCCGTGCAAACATCACAGTGTACACTTACACAAACCTAGATGGTATAGCCTATTGCTCCTAGACTACAAACCTGTACAGCATGTTACTGTACTGTATACTGTAGGCACTTGTAACACAATAAGAATGTGTATATCTAAACATAGAAAAGGTTCAATAAAAATATGGTATTATTGGCCGGGCGCAGTGACTCACGCCTGTAATCCTAGCACTCTGGGAGGCCAAGGCGGGCGGATTGTTTGAGCTTAGGAGTTCGAAACCAGTCTGAGTAAGAGCGAGACCCCGTCTCTACTAAAAATAGAAAGAAATTAATTGGACAACTAAAAATATATAGAAAAAATTAGCCGGGCATGGTGGCACATGCCTGTAGCCCCAGCTACTCAGGAGGCTGAGCAGGAGGATCGAGGCTGAGGCAGGAGGATCGCTTGAGCCCAGGAGTTTGAGGTTGCTGTGAGCTAGGATGACGCCACGGCACTCTAGCCAGGGCAACAGAGTGAGACTCTGTCTCAAAAAAAAAAAAAAAGGTATTATTTAATATAATCTTATGGAACCACCATTGTGTATGCAGTACATCATTGACCACAGTGTTGTTTCTCAGCCTATGATTGTATATGAGTCAAAATTTTCTTGGTCATTTTCTCTTGGTATGATTTTTTTAAAAAAATTGTTGTGCTTGCTGTCTTCCATTCTATTAGTAACTTTGTCATTTTAATCCGCACTCCTACTCTAACTTCCACTCCAGTTATCAGCAAAATTGACCATTGTTGATTAAATTGGCCATGAAGTTTGAGTTTCCCACGTGGGCTTGGATGAACTTTTTGAATTTAGTTTTCATTCAAATATTTTATTAGAAAACAATTTGTTTTAGGCTCTTCCTTTAAAGGATTGGTTAACCTAGGCCCATTTTGCGAAATCTTTTATTTTCTTCCCCGCCTTTGCTAGATTCCCTCTAGATGGGGGCGGGAGGGTCTCTTTAAACTGGGTCCTTTAAACTGTAAACTTTAATATTCTTACTGTTAGTGTATAGAGCATCCAAGAGTCAATTAACATTTATTAATTTAAAAATAAAGTCATGTTTTAAAGTTTATAGTCCAGTTATATATCGTTTACTAATTGTGCCCTGACAATTCAAAAGAAAGGTTTTGTGATAGAATATCAAGCACATTTCAGTTTATTAATTTATTTTAGGATTTTTTTTTTTGAGACAGAGTCTCTCTATCGCCCAGGCTGGAGTGCAGTGGCACGATCATAGCTCACTGTAACCTCAAACTCCTGGTCTCAAGCAATCCTCCTTCCTCAGCCTCCTGAGTAGCTGGGACTACAGGCGCACGCCACCCCACCTGGCTAATTTTTCTATTTCTAGTAGAGACAGGGTCTTGCTCTTGCTCAGACTGATCTTGAACTCCTGAACTCAAGTGATCCTCTCACCCTGGCCTCCCAGAGTGCTAGGATTACAGGTGTGAGCCACCATGCTGGCCAGGAAATTCTTTATATGTCACCCTCCTGTGTGTGTATGTTGGGGGAGGCTTTAAAACAAACCATCCCTCCTTCCTCTCTCACCCCAAGAAGAAACTATGATACAATTCACAATAACGAAGGGAGAGCCACAATTATAGTCTGAGTATTAACTGCCATATTTCATTACTATGTCTTACTCCCTTATTTGTACCTTGGGCCTCCTAGTTAATATTTCTGGTGCGATTGTTGAAATATATTTGAGGTAAACATTTAACTTTGGCTTTTCTGGAATTTTAATGTTTGATTTTTTTTTTTTAAACTATAAACTTAAATGTAGAAATGTTCAGTCCCTGAAAACTATAGCTAAGCATACTCACATTTTTTCCCTTTTGCCTCACCTTCCCAGTAATGACTCAGAGGCATATAAAGATCAAATACCAGTATTGCCAAATGAACAAGACCTGGTGAGAGAAGAAGCCCAGAAAATGAGTAGTCTGTTACCAACTATGTGGCTAGGAGCACAAAATGGCTGGTAAGTGCCAACACTTTAAATATTAGAGTATCTTTATTCTTTTACTTTTGATTTTGGAATAAGAGGATAAGTAAAATGTGGCCAACACAAATACAGAAAAAAGTGAGTATTAATGCAGAGAATTTTATATACCCACAAAATTTGAAATTATGTTGCAATTACCTCATAAACTGGGCTTGTGTTGGTTCTGAATGGTAAACCATATGTTTTTTTTTTTTGGTCACAGAATGTTCCCTTTATGTAATATTCTTGGAAGAAGAGGTAAATAAGATTTTTAAATCTGGGTTATCCAGAAATAGAAGAGCCTGAACAGCACAGAGACAGAGAATGTTTGATGTATAAGGCTACAGTGTGGGCAGGGAAACTGGGATTAAACTAATGTGTTTTACTGCAAGAAGGCCCAATCCCAAACATAACTATTTAGTAGAGTTACTAGGAAAGGCAGAACAAATCACAGTGTGAAAGCTCAGACGATAATAACATTACATGATTTGTTCACTTTCTAGTAGTATGTGGAGTTTTACAAAATTGTGCATTTCCAAAGGTTAAATAAGCAAGGTTACTACAGGTTGAGCATCCCTAATCCAAAAATCCAAAATCTGAAACGTTTTTGAGTGCTGATGCTCACAGGTCATGCTCAAAAGAAATATTCATTGGAGCATTTCAGATTTCGGTTTTTCAGGTTAAGGATACTCAACTGTTATGTATAATGCAGATATTCCATAATCCAAAAAAATCAGAAATCCAAAACGCTTCTGGTCCCAAGCATTTTGGGTGGGACACTCAACCTGTAGTATGTCTTTTCCATATGGGTCCAATACTATAAAATGAGGGGTTGGCAAACTGAATGTTGGCTATGTTCCAATATAACTTTATTTATGGGCCCTAAAATTTGAATTTCATATAAATCTCCCCTGTCATGAAGTACTCTTGATTTTTTTCCCCTCAACCATTTAAAAATGTAAAAACTATTCTTAGTTTTCAGGCTGTGTGAAAACAGGTGGCAGGCTGGATTTGGTCTACAGGCCATAGTTTGTCACTCCCCATGTGGACCACTTTGTCATCCAAAAGTTATAGTGTAGTGGAGAAGTAAAGTAATTCCAAATGAGGGCTTTAGCCAAGGACTCTAAAGCGTGGGGTACCCCAAAACTAACTGACTGTGCATTGCACTAGTTCTTGCTTTTCATTCTTGCTATGTTTCTGTTTGCTTAAGCAGCCTATTTCTCTGCCTCGGGCCTACCTTTACTCTCTTTTTTGTTTTCCAACCATTCTACCAAAGCAGCAGCAAAATCTGTACGTTGTTCTTTTTTCCTCCTGAATGAACTTTGAGGTTATTGTGGGGTTTAAGCAGTGTCTTGATGTTTTCTATGCCTTACCCCAGTCTTGACTTTGTTCTTGCAGTTTGTATGTCCATTCATCTGTAGCCCAGTGGAGGAAATGTCTCCATTCCATTAAACTTAAAGATTCGATTCTCAGTATTGTGTAAGTTTTATTTTTGAAATTCTTCCTGTTGAAACTATGTATTTTGGTATAAACTAGATTTTAAGACTTTTGAAGCTAAGATGTATTTCATGACTAAATCAGTATCAAGGTTGTTTGCTTTTTTTAAACCCTTTTTGTGGAACTAGAGAAGTTGAGTGAGAATGAAATTCTGTAACAGAAAGTAAAACAGAAAACTAAGTAGAAGAGAAAACTTGCCAGATTGGTTCCTTAACCATACTAGTTTTTTAGTATTTCAGGGAGAGAGCCAATACCTATTAATTTATATTTGTTTTAAAATATTATTGATAGTTTGTGAATATGTTGATCTAGTTGATCTAGTCTTTTTCTATATGGTGACTAGCAAAAATCAGACAGTCCACAGGGCTGACTCTGTTAGTTCCACTAAAGGTGTGTGTCTCTAGTCTGTGGAGTTTGTTGGTTGTCTGTAATGAGAACAGGAACTCAGGCCAGAAAATGAAACAACTGAGATTCCACAATGCTACTTATTTAGTTCAGCTGACATTTTTTCAAGCGGGACATTCACAATGAAGAAAGCAGTGTATTCATTTATGTTCTGGTGTAAGCTCCTCATCTCATCACAGATGGGTTCTTTACAAGGCTCTGAACTAGTTCAGTGGCATGTAGTCCCTTCTATATTCCTGAATGGAGAGTTCTGAAATCCCTTTTCCTGTTTGCAGACACGTGAAAGGAATTGTTTTAGTGGCCCTGGCTGATGGCACCCTTGCGATCTTTCACAGAGGAGTTGGTGAGTGGTTATGAATAACTGGTTGCTTTGCAAAGCATTTTCAGCAGGTTAACTTTATGGTTTGAAGAAATAATACTTAGTAGAAGAAAGAATAAAGGTTTAAACTGACTACTAACAATGTGTGAGGCCTGGTGTGGTGGCTCAAACCTGTAATCATAGCACTTTAGGAGGCCACGGTGGGAGAATCACTTGAGGCCAGGAGTTTGAGACCAGCCTGACAACATAGTGAGACCCTGTCTCTACAAAAAATAAACACTGTCCAGGTGTAGCAGCGTGTACCTGTAGTCCTAGGTATTTGAGAGGCTGAGCCAGGAAGATTGCTTGAGCCCAGGAATTTGAGGTTGCAGTGAGCCGCAAGTGTACCACTGTACTCTAGCTCAGGTGACAGAGCAAGTCCCTGGCTTAAAACAAAATAAAACAAAACAAAAAAAACCACCCAAAAGACCCAAAACAAGGTGTGACATCAGTAAGTATATTAGTGCCAATGTGGAGGTATACATTAACAGTATACCTCAGGGAAAGGCTGAGTGAGGTGGCTCATGCCTGTAATCCTAGCACTTTGGGAAGCCAAGACAGAAGGATCGCTTGAGGCCAGGAGTTCAAGGCTGCACTGAGCTATGATGACACCATTGCATTCCAGCCTGGGTGACACAGCGAGACCCTGTCTTGAAAAAAAATAAAACAAACAACATACCTCAGGGAAAATATATTTACCATAAAGAACAAGCAGTTTAGCATGTTCTGGTACTCTTATATAATGTGATATAGAAGCATTTGTTTTTCATTCATACACTTATTCAATTAGGAGAAATTTGGTGAGGATATTTTTTCCTGGTCCTTTTTTTTGTTTTTTGGGGTTTTTTTTTTTTTTTTTGAGACAGAGTCTCACTGTGTTGCCCGGGCTAGAGTGCCGTGGCGTCAGCCTAGCTCATAGCAACCTCAAACTCCTGGGCTCAAGCAATCCTTCTGCCTCAGCCTCCCGAGTAGCTGGGACTACGGGCATGCGCCACCGTGCCCGGCTAATTTTTTGCTATGTATTTTTAGTTGTCCAATTAATTTCTTTCTATTTTTAGTAGAGATGGGGTCTCGCTCTTGCTCAGGCTGGTTTCGAACTCCTGAGCTCAAACAATCCACCCACCTCGGCCTCCCAGATAGCTGCGATTACAGGCGTGAGCCACTGCGCCCGGCCCGTTTTTTGGGTTTTTTTTGAGACATAGTCTTACTCTGTCACCCTGGCTAGAGTACAGTGGCATCATGATAGCTCACTGCAATCTCAAACTCCTGGGCTTAAGCAATTCTCCTGCCTCAGCCTCCCGAGTAGCCGGGACTACAGGTACAAAAGACCATGCCTGGCTAATTTTTCTATTTTTTGTAGAGATGGGGTCTTGCTCTTGCTCAGGATGGTCTCGAACTCCTGACCTCAAGTGATCCTCCTGCCTTGGCCCCCAGAGTACCAGGATTATGGGTGTGAGCCACCGGGCCTGGCCATAGTCCCATGTTTTAAAAATAGTTTGCATCCACTTACATTTGGAGAGTTTTTAAAAATAATTTTTAATTGCATAAGATTTAATCATTCTCACATCACATTACTTATATTCTTCCCCTTTAACCATCATTTTATCTATAGATGGAGGGGTGGTGGTACCGGAAAACATACCTTGAATAATTAAATTAAGGGCATTTAGTACTAAACTTCTAAACGTCTTTGTATATGTTGTCAACCAAAAATGATACTTCATTTCCTACCCACTAGATTGGTAGATCAGGGAAATATTATGAAACATAGATGATATACTGAATTTGGATTTTAGAAAGACTGTTCCCAATGTCTCATGTCCTTTTGGGCTTGGAGAAATGTGGGGTAGTGATAGTTAGGTGCCTTTGTAATTGATTAGTACCTAGAGATTGCTGGTTAATGACTCCATATCATCAAAGAGTGAGAGGGCTCTATTTTACCTTGTTTAGGCCCTTTACAGACTTTATCTGTATCTAATCCTCACAACAACTTATGAAGAAGGTTCTGTTGTCATCCTTATTTTATAGATGAGGAAACTGGCACAGAGCATTTCAGTCACTTATTCATGGTCACTCAGCTAGTAAGTGGAAGAGCCTAGAAAAAATGCAATAATAAATGTTAGGTAAAGTGAAGCCAAAATTATATTGACAGAACAAGAAAAACAAAATATATTTAGTAAGAATCAATGCAAAGCCCTGCATTTGGGTTCAGAAGAGCAAGATGGGGGAGGTAAGTCTGAAGAGTGAGAATTATCTAAAGGTTGATTCTAAACTCAATATGAGTTAGTTAATGCCTTAAGCATCGTGGAAATAAAGTGTCCAAAACAGTCATGGTGATAATCCTGCTCTTCCACGCTAGATAAGAGCGTATTCAATGGACTTCAACAAAATAGATTAGGATGCAGGATCTGTAAACTGTGATAGGTACAAAGCACATGCCAGAGATACTTGGTTTTGAAAGGAGAAGACATAGGACTGTAGTAAAGAAGTTTGGACTGAATTTATTCTTGGGTTTCCCCTGGGCAAAAATGCAGACCGATGGATGATTACATATAAGGAGGCAGGCTTTAGCTAGGTATGGGGAATATTTTTCAGACATTTATAGCTGTCTGAAAATAGAACTGCTGCTTTGTGAGGTAGCTCTTTCACTGAAATTGTTCAAGCAAAGCTAACAAAGCAAAGCAAGCTTCTGGTGGTTGGTTCTCATTCGTATTTCTATTATCACTAAAAATATAGTATGCACAACCCCTGAAGTGTTAGTAATGAGTTGCCTCAAATACATCAAAATGTAAGTGAGCGAGATAATATCCCCCAAATAAACTTAAGTCCATTATAATTCTAAAAATATTATTTAAACAGATAACTTATAACTGATATATCACTGCTTTTGAGAGCTTTTCTTTTTTTTTTTTTTGAGACAGTCTCACTGTGTTGCCCAGGCCAGAGTGCTGTGTCATCAGCCTAGCTCACAGCAACCTCAAACTCCTGTGCTCAAGCAATCCTCCTGCCTCAGCCTCCTGAGTAACTGGGACTACAGGCGTGCACCACCATGCCCAGCTAGTTTTTTCTATTTTTAGTTGCCTGGCTAATTTCTTTCTATTTTTAGTAGAGATGAGGTCTCACTTTTGCTCAGGCTGGTCTCAAACTCCTGACCTCAAGCAATCCTCCCACCTCGGCCTCCCAGAGTGCTAGGATTACAGGTGTGAACCACTGCACCCGGCCTTGAGAGCATTTTTAAAGGGGGTCCAGGTACTGGGTACTGGGTTGGATCCGATGACCTTTTCAGTCTCATCCAGCTTTGCAGATTATAGAATAAGAGAACCCAGTCTCTACAAATAAAAAGTTCACCTAATACATATTTTGGATGCTTCATCAATAAATTTAATTACAGAACCAAATAGAATGTTTCTTTTGTTGAAATTGAGTAAAAGGCTGTATGCGTTAACTATAATCTATTTCTTATTTTAAAGATGGGCAGTGGGATTTGTCAAACTATCACCTCTTAGACCTCGGACGGCCTCATCATTCTATCCGATGCATGACTGTGGTACATGACAAAGTCTGGTGCGGCTATAGGAACAAAATCTATGTGGTTCAGCCAAAGGCCATGAAAATAGAGGCAAGTTAGCCTATGTGTTCTGTACTTACTCAATTTGTATTACTCAAAGACTATACGACTGTAACTATTTTCAGCTTCTTTAGAAATTGTTTTCTGAATCTTTGTGTTTTAGGACACTTCAGCAATATATTTGGATATCTTAACTTTTTGTATTACTTTCAGCTCTTGCCACCTTTGATTGTGAGAATAGGAAGTTTTTTTTTTTTTAAAGGAAGGAGGATTCACATATGAATATTTAAATGTGTGTCTGTGTGTGTATCCATAGATTAATACATGTTTTGTCTGAATACATGGTTCTTGATATGTTTAATTATATCAGGATTGCTTGAGAAGAAGATTCCCGAGTCCCCATCCCCACCATGTGTATCCAGCCACATCCACATACGTGTCTCAGACCAAGAAATGACACTGCAGTGGGAATTGGTTGTAAAGACAAAAATCTCTAGGCATTGTTTTCTTATAATTTTTTTGCCACAATACACAAATTCATTCTAACTGTTTAAAAAATTTATAGCAGGTGAAATTCTCCTTCTCCACTGCCCCAAATCGAATTCCCTTTCTTGGAAGGCCTAAAGCTAACCATTTGATGTTTATTTTTCATATCTATTCTTTATGTCCAGATATATATATAGGTTGAGTATCCCTTATTTGAAATTCTTGAGACCAGAATGTTTTGGATTTTAGATTTTTTAGGATTTTGAAATATTTGCATATACATAATGAGATATCTTGGGGATGGGACCCAAGTCTAAACATGACATTTATCTATGCTTCATATATACCTTATACACATAGCTTGAAGGTAATTTTATACAATATTCTTAATAGTTTTGTTAATGAAGCAAAGTTAGTGTACATTAAGCCATCAGAAAGCTAATGTATCACTGTCTCAGCCACACATATGGGTAATCTCTAGTTGTTTGGCAAAACCGTCATTCCTGACTCTGAATTTATATGCTACCAGTAAGCAATCATTTTCTTATACTTTTTCATGCATAAAAACTTAACAGTAAAAAATAAGGCATACCATTAATTCAGTGAAAAAGATAATGTGTTCCAGATAATTTATGGTGTCATGTTGGCACTCAAAAAGTTTCTGATTTTGGAGCATTTTGGATTTCAGATTTTTGGATTAGGGACGCTCAGCCTATACACACACACACATACACAGCAATGTGGGTTCCTTTTTTTAAAATTACAAATAGGATCTTCATGTATTGCTCTACATCAACACAAAATCCAGCGAGCAAAATCTTTCTGTTGAACACTGTTACATAGCGTGGGTATGCCAGTATTGTGCCAATATTGCTTTCATAAATTGTTACTCTATGTGGTGCTGAGGTCCAACATCCTGTGGTTCATTTTGTTTTGCATTCTAGGATGAAAGCAATTGTGTATATAAGAGTAATCATATGTTTAGTATATAATATTTAGGCTTCTCTTTTAATAAATAAGTCTGCTAAATTGTGCAAATTAACAGTTTTAAAATATGAACTCCTGTGTAACAAAAGTAACTTTGTGATTGGACAATCTCTCCTAGAAATCATTTGATGCGCACCCCAGGAAGGAGAGCCAAGTGCGACAGCTCGCGTGGGTGGGTGATGGTGTGTGGGTCTCCATTCGTTTGGATTCCACACTCCGTCTCTATCATGCACACACTTACCAACATCTGCAGGATGTGGACATTGAGCCTTATGTCAGCAAAATGTTAGGTAAGCTTCCAGAACATTTTATCTTTGGCAATCAAAGAGAATGTTTTATTTATTTACTTATGTATTTTTAGAGATGCAGGCTCACCATGTTGCCCATGTTGGACTCGAACTCCTGGGTTCAAGTGTTCCTCCTGCCTCAACCTCCAGAGTAGTTGGGACTACGGGTGCGCAACACCACGTTCAGCTCTTGTTTTATCTTATTTATTTAAT